AGTCGAACCACCTACCTTCCTCTCCCCGGGCAGACGCTCTATCCACTGGACCTCATACATGATAAACAGCTGATAACCAGCATGGTGGATTCGTAAAGGTGAATGGTGACTCTTTTCATACATTATGCATATCTCGTGGGCCATAAAATGATTTGGTCGTACAAAATCCTCTGGGTTTGCAAACATAGTGGGAATTTGATCATGAATTATTTGAATATATATATTTAGCTGGGACTGCCAATCTATAATGTAACAAACAGGAATATAATAATTGATAAAAAATGATTGAACATAGTATCTATGAACAAAGCATTCTGTGTCACAAGCAGAAAATCCTTCACTGTATGGTAACCACGCGTTTTTGTGAAAATGTCAAATATTTAATATTGTTCACTTAATATAGAATAAACATGATTTATTGCTTCCATCAATACGACAAAACAACTTCAATAAAACAAAATTAAGGCATAAACATAAGGGTACACAATGATTTTTTTCCGACCTACCAAAGATAGGTAGTTCTGAGGAAAGCTCTGGGCCTTTACGATAAAATGGAAACAGTGAGGCCTGAATACTTGGCTGAGACGCCACCGACTGCCCCGACTCCGGGTGTCTGTACTCACAAAGACCCTATTATGTCGCTCGGTTACACGCTCGTCAATCTGCTACACACGGTCGAGATCTCCCAAACCCTACATCTCTGTAACACAATCACCTTAACTGCTTTGTACTTGACTTATGACATGCAAGCAACCCTCCAATCATATTCAACGAGTCTATTTTCTCCACAATGTCAAAGCGCTGATCGACTTGAACCGAACAAGGAAGAAACACCTCAACTCATTATTGGATTAGCATTGATCAATCGAATCAGCACCCTCTGGGTAAGGTGGGTGAACTTTAATGACAACGTACTTGTTGCAACTAGACCTAATGAGATCAGGTATATTGATCTGTTCAAATACTCCAATACTGTCATGACATCCCACACTGAGGTTTAAACTCGCATCATTGCCGCGACACCAATCCACTGGGAGCGACGTCACAACTGGTGTGTGACTGAGACACGGTCTTCGTGTATTTCTTCTCTTGGCCCGGGCACGGGTGGCACGATTCGCTGCGTCCTGTTGCGTTCTTTGTCGTTTTATGATCACTTGATCGTATTTCGAATCCTAAATTAATTCTAATTCTGATTCCATCAGTCAAAACCTTGGTTCAAATCAGTGAATATTTAAGGGATTTGAGCCTGCTAAACAGACAATAAATGGCTGAACGGCTCTAATGTGTGTGTGTGTGTGTGTGTGTGTGTGTGTGTGTGTGTGTGTGTGTGTGTGTGTGTGTGTGTGTGTGTGTGTGTGTGTGTGTGTAACTTCACAGGGGGGTACAATGAGTGAAGCCCATTTCTGGTGACCACGCCGTTACATTGCTGGAATATTGTTAAAAGCGGCATAAAAACATACTCAACGTTGTATTCTGTTCTGCTGAGTTGACAATTGACATGCACATTGCATTGACGACATAAAATAGCCAGCCATACAGTCAACTATGACAACTAATAATATTTATGTCAACCTTTTCTTAATTTTCAATTCCATTCTAAACAACAAGCAAACGTCATTAGACAAAACAGAAGAATGTTAACGTCGTTCCAGAATTAAGTATAAGTTTGTTTGTTTGTCTGTTGTTTAACGCCGCACTCAGCAATATTCCAGCAATATGACAGGGTGTTACCCTGAAGATCCGGGGTAGAATATTGGTGAGTGCGGCGTTAAACAACAAACAAACTATATGACGGCTGTCTGTAAATAATGAGATCTAAATAATGTAAATGAGTCTGAACCTGACGATCCAGTGGTTGTCATCTTGAGCATCGATCCACGAAATTGGGATACGATGACATGTTTCAACCAAGACAGCAAGCCTGACCACCCGATCCCCTTAGTCGCCTCTTACGACAAGCATAGTCGCCTTTTACGACAAGAATGGGATGCTGAAGACCTATTCTACCCCGGATCTTCAAGACATGCATCAACCAAGTCAGCAAGCCTGATCACCCGATCCCGTTAGCCGCCTCTTACGACAAACATCATTCTCTGAGTACACATCATTGTTTCGTGACAGTGACGTGATTGTCAATACATTACACATTTTTCAGAAAAATGTTTGGTAACAATAATCATTCTCTGGCTACATATTTTTTCACATGAAATTCTTAGGTCATAGATTGAGCTACTTTTTCGGGTTTTTTTGTCGCAGGTTGTCATGATGGAATCAATCTGTCAAAATACCGAAAAAGGGGAAAACATCACCACTCAAGTGGCAGAAAAACGGAATGCAACACTAAATATACTAAGAAGTGTGCTTTCTTACATGGATGCAGACAAATTTATGTCACATTGTAGATTTCATGTTTGGTTCCGGTGCATGGTGTCAATGTCAGCAATCATAAAGATAAACCAAAACAATATACTGCTCACTTTCAAATTCTCTCAAAAGCTTTGAATAATACATTTGACATTGTAAAATTATTCAAACATGACAACTTCTGCACGTCCAAACAGTGCATCAGGCGCTGGTCACGTGACCCTTATGGAAACCATATCATGTGTTATAGACATATGGAAAGCTCTGGGAAATGGATCACTAACATAAATCAAAACCTTTTCAAGTTAAGTAATGCATTTTACCGGGAAAACAATATTTTGCATATTTCGGTAAAGATTATCTCAATTAAACGTTTATAGCTGTCATTTCCTTTTGGCATTTTGCGTGAGTGATTGAGCTTGTTTTAACGCCGCTTTTAACAGTATTCCAGTTATATCACGGCGTGTCAGCTTAATGTGGGAGGAAAGCCCGAAGTGATGGCAGGTCTCAGACGTTACCCACTTCGGTGAAACCCACGAGCACGGGTATGGTGCTGGCAAACCTAGAAACATAATCGGGGCTAAACGGAATTCGAACCCACAATCAAGCGTTTCTGGCGTGCTCGAGGGACGCAACTCTGCACAGCGAATCGTGGCGCCTTTGACAACTGGGCCACCAGTGCCCCCCACGAAAGGTTGGAAATAGCCAAGACTCGTCATACTGTTACCAAAGTTAAGTCAAATAACTACAGGTGACTATTGTTGACAAATCAACAAAGCTGAAAAGTATGCAGTTGCTCTCACTGATAAGGCCTCAGATAACATAGCCATTATATGTACGCATCATTACATTAATCGTTTGATCAAAGAACTGGGTATAAGTGGCATAACAAATAGTGGCGAGTGTGTAATTTGAGGAAAAACTCCGTCCAAACCGTGTATCAGTGCTATCATGTTTTGGTTCCAAAGTCATGGGCATTCGTCTTTTGTACTGGAAAGTACAATGGTAGATTCAATGCAGAGTCAAGCAAATATATCACCAAATCCCTGTCTCAAAGATCATCCTTACTTCTCAATACAACCATCTTAACACTTTGCCCTTTAAATATCAGTCTTATTTCCTGTTTTCAGATCATGCGCCGTTCAATTGAAACACTGAATATGTTATCATGATTGTGTGTCAATGGACAATGTTACAATGACTTTGCTAAATGTAACATCTTCACGTAAATGACGCTATTGCAGTTGTTACAACTCACACAATAATGTAATGATGCGTACATATAATGGTTATGTTATCTAAGGCCTTGTCGGTGAGAACAACAACAAACTTTTCACGTAGAGCAGCCAGACTTTGGATGACAGCTTTGTTGATTTGTCAACAAAAGTCACCTGTGATTATATGACACAAACGTTGGTAACAGTATGATGCGTCTTGGCTACTTCCAACCCATCGTCATATATGGAATATATGGAGTGTTTAACATGTCTTAGGGTGCCAGCTCTTTGGGGTGTATACACTGGACGAAATACATATAGCTTTTACCGGACATTATTCAGAGACTTGCAACGCAGCAGGATGTCAAGGTGAGTTTGTAATCAGCTTCACGTCAAGTAAATGCGGACATGAATATCGCAGTGTTTGTGCACTCCGTTTACCAATGGATATTACGTCAACGTAACATTTGTTCAAGTTAAAGTAAGTATTTGTTCACAAATACCGTTCATGTTTCTGACAGATAGCTCCACGATACTGTAGCTCTCTTGGGTTTGTAGACAATTATATGTAGTCAAGGAAAGTCACTTCACAAAAAGAGCTGTTGTTAGCGTTGAAATTCAAATGTTGTGAACAAAATATGATGGCATCGTGAGGAGAAACCTACATGCTAAATTCCATCTCTCTCGGTCACGCACATAGCCAAATAGCGAGAGAGAATTAAGAAGCACGGTCAAAACAAGATCAACATTGTGCAAAAGAACTAGAACATCACACTCAACAAATGGCATTTATTTATGGTATATAAATGATGGAGTAACAGCCATAAGTATAGTATAGTAGGTGTGCAAAGGTCAACTGTAAATATTTAATATAACGCCCCAAATCGGATCATATACATGTATGTTGAGCCCAAGTACTTACTACATATGTGCCAAATTTCATCACATTTGATGAACAAATACTGAGTAAGGGCCATGAAAAGCCTTTGACATATGGCCACCACAATGAAAATCGGATTCGAAATTTGCGCAAAATATTCCAGCTTTTTTGGTCAAGTGGTTTCTAAGGAGATGCACTCATGAGGAAATGCATTTTGAGAAATTATAAGAGCAAAGTAAATAGTCAAATACAGGTCCAAAGTTTGAATATCGTAAAATCGTTTACATTACATGGCCCCATTCACAACTACATATATATCAAATTTCAAACAATATCACTGTGTAATGAGCATTAGCTATTGTACTTTCAAATATCACAATTGATCCCGACTACTGACATAAATCGCTTTTCAATATGCCTGCATCATCTTTCAAAGTTTCAGCTGAATTCATCATTCTGATCCAGTGTATCTTACGGTTTACTGAATTGATATGTTCATCAGTATTTCGATAACCATCGATTATTTATAGTTCATGGGGGTTGGTCGACCTGGATCATCACCACAAGCACGTGCTCAGCTTCGTGTGAAGGTGGATCTAGAACGGTGTCCAGAACCAGACGCTGCAACAGTCCCGTTCCAAGATTCGGCGGCAATAACTGTGTAGGGACCTCTGATGATACATACACAGAAACGTGTAACACAGGGGGATGCTCAGGTAAGGTCTTAACCCCTAGTCCCACCTAAGTGGCATGCACAGGCTGTACATGGATTCAAACTTTCACTCGTGCTAAGATTTATGTAAAAATAGATTCAGTTAGGAAGGAAACTTTCTCCATTAATTAAAGTTTAATGTGATGCGTTGTAGATAGCTTAGAAAAGTATTGTGTTAATTACACCAACATACAGATGTGGTACAAGTATCAAATCGGATGTAAAAAGCTGAAGGTTCAGCGAAACACATTAGTCGTATTTTTTAGATCCATGCAGAGGTTGTCGGTATGCCAACGGTATTGGATATTTGCCAGACCCCGATGACTGTGCCCGGTTCATACAGTGCCAGGAACCCAGACCAGGGACCAGTGCTATTTTCCATAACATGCAATGTAGTCCGGGTCTGTACTGGAACCAGCAACACTTGGTGTGCGATTGGTCAGCTAATGTTGTCTGCACAGTGGAAGCTGAAGGTGCGTGGTTAACTCTATACATACTAAATACGAGAATATTAGTTCATTGTTATCCTTTCATCCGACACCACCATGACCTTAAAGTTTACGACCGGGGAAGGTATTGTGAATAAAAGCGACAAAACCATTTCCATAATCATGAGAGATACCCATTGTACTATTCCGACTATACTGTAAGCATGTGTTCATGAATCACGATCAAATAGCCCTGTTATCAGGTGTTCGCGAACCCATCACAAACACATGCAAAGGCAAGTCAAAAATTTTCAGACATAATATCTGACATATACAAACAATCGTATACCAAGAATTTGTTTTTGCTTTTTTTCATCACAGATGAAACATTTGCCCCATCGACTGCTGCACCGTCAACATCTGCTCCACTGACTTCTGCTCCCTCGTCGTTGTGCGACGGCTCTACGAAGGCAAAGTCTGGCAATACTGCTCAGTATCAGCAGCTGATTCATGGAAACTGGATCACTAGATACTGCGCTCCCGGAACTGTGTACTCAAGTGCAAGTTGCAGCTGCATCACTGGCAAGAATGTCGCATCCCCAGGTAACCCTGCACCTGTAGATAGTCAGTTTTTTAGGGAGCACGGGGGGCCCAGTAGTCTAAGGCGCCGCGATTCGTTGTGCAGTGTTGCGTCCCTTGGGCACGTCAGAAACCTATGATTGTGGGTTCGAATCCCGGTTCGCCCCGATTATGTTTCTAGGTTTGTCAGCACCATACCCGTGCTCGTGGGTTTCACTGAAGTGGTAAACGTCTGAGACCTGCACCTCCCACATTAAGCTGGGATATAACCGGAATGCTGTTAAAAGCGGCGTTAACACAACTCACTCAGTTTGGTACATCTGTTGTGTTGCACTGTTCCACTGTGTTGCAAAACCAATATATTTTTTTAAGGTTTTTCTTTACTCACAAGAAACAGAATAACTATGCTTGTACACAGACGTAATTGAAAATTAACATATCGTTTTTATCAGTTTCATTGAAATCAGTAAATGCACTATCCTGTTACTGGAATTGCAGGTCCATCGATCACTTGATTGTCTGGTTTGTTTACAGGTCGCCGTTGCATGGCAGGAGAACAGCTTTGCTTCTTTGTGCAAATTGTATGAATGGCTGGATAATCTAGACTGGTTAATCTCCTGCACTGACAATTTATCTTTGCTTAATATATATGAACATACATGAGGTGAGACCAACGATGAAGATATTATACTCAATAACTTTTTGACTTAAGGTATTTATGTGGTTCTTGCAAACTTAATTATAGGAGCGAACGAGGTACACATGCATGAAACAAGTGTGAAGAAGGTTGCATGATGTGAATATAGATCACAACATTATGAATATCATTTTCATTTCAGTTTGTCAGGCCGAGGTTTACCTTCCTTTCAACAGCGACGTTAATGACAATTCTGCCAACCACAACTACGTACAAAACACTGGTATTGTTACTACAAGCAGAGGCCACGGCGTCTTCAGCAACAACACCCAACTCCGCATCCTGCGTTTCTCCAACATGCATTTCGGTAACACCTTAATCATCTCCTTCTCCTTCAAACAAACTCAGACAACAAGCAAAACACAGGCTATCGTCACCAACGACGACTGCGGACACGGGGGCAGCATCTACATCACCACCCAGCGGTCAACTGTCTACTTTCGTGTTGTGAACAGCAACAACGTCACACATACTTTGAATATAACTTACACAGTGAGTACGAAAACATTGTTCTTTTACTCTATCAGATCGTATTTATACAGGAAGAGGTCCCCTGTACTAGGGCTGGGACGAGTCCAAATTTACTACCTGGGTACCCATCCCCTATTACCCGATCCTACCCGGATACCCGCTGTAGGTCTCAAGAGGTAGGTACAAGCTGTCCGATTGAGAAGATGTTGACCGTAGCTCTGGCAAAATGTGTTTAGATACACGTATAAAACGATCTGGTGTATACACTGAAGTTGACTGAAGTTATAATTTTTGTTCGAACATATAAAAGTCAGAAGGAATGGGCAAAGTAGTCAGGAAGAACTGCAAACATTAGTGACTTGTAGTTAATCATACAGCCCTAGATAATTTGTGTCTTTAAACAACACTCCTCTGGGTCCCCGGATCCTACTGATTACCCACCCCGACTCGAGTACCCGAGTTACCCGTCCCCGCCCTACCCTGTACCCATACCTGTCTATTTATTGCTTGGCATCGTACACTGTTAGTTTGTGATCGATGCTCACACCTCTTGGGGAGGTTTGTAAGCCAAGTGTTCAAAGCGTTCCCTCATTACCCTTAAGGTCTGGGTTCGATTGCCAACTTGGTGCAAAGTGTGAAGCCCATTTCTGGAAGCCCCCGCCGCGATATTGCTAATAGAAACGGCGTTTAACCCACTGACTCACTCACTGGTTTACCTGTTCCAGACGCTCTTATGAATGTCTATATTATAGAAATAAACACCTCAGGGAGAATAAACCATAAGGGGCGCAACATATATGAGTACCGACATTTTTTTTTAGAACCCATTTAAGCATGTTAATAAAATATCCAAGCTGTTAATATATTTACCGTATTTAATAATGATGGCACCCTGAATAGAATCCTATTCAGCTATGTCGGACAAGTCCATTTTATGAACAGATGTGTAAAGTTGGTATTTCCGAATATTCTCACAACACCCTATCTGTACCTCTTCGCCCAGTACCGATTTGCATATTTCTCGAACTATTGGATGCGATCGTTCGGCCACTGCGTTAATCTGCGTTGCCCAGCTAAATCTATCGGGAACAACACACAAGGCACATATCTCTAAAAATAACTTCCAACATACGACGTCATCAATTTGCGAGCACCCGTTCGAATCTCCAGTAACGACGTCATGATTGGAAAATGTTTTGTCGTGAAATTAACCACGCTTAATTGGTCTCGTCGCTATCTTATATTCTTTATTTGACGTCATGAATTTTTATGTTACTCACACTATTAACATCGTAACCTAGGGGACAATAGTTGCGAGGAAACATGAAGTTTATGGACAAGTTAACAGTTGATCTTATCCATTGTGGGTTTGAACAGTTGTGTGTGGGTACATTTCAGGCCACGACGTCCCTGAATGAGGTGAAGCTGATCATCAAGAATGGGCTGATGAAAGCAGAAGTCAATAGCTCCAGCAAACAGAGGGCATTTGATGGTACAAACATTTGGATGGTCGTTTAAAATACTTCCTATATAAAAGAATCCAACTTCAACAGTATGAGACATACCGTTATTTTGTGGTTAGGGCACCTAAATTGTGTTTGAGATATTAGCAAAAGATAGGGAATCACCATTGACCATCACGGAACTGGTCTACCGTATTTAGAATTGCCAAAATCACTAACAGCGGTTAATTTTTCATGAAGGTATGAATGCGGACACAAACGACATGGAATCAAAGATTTTACGGACCCATTTTCTTATTAATTATACAACCTGACTGGCACTGGAGAGTTTCAATTTTAACAATGTAATTTCCAGCATTCAGATGAAATGTAAAAATATAAACTGCCGGGAAAGTATACACTTGAAACCTGGAATTTACCAAAACATTACAAATGTTATCAAAGCGTTACTGGGCTAAAAACAATCGCAGAAACTAAAAAATACAACGATGACACCCGTTAAATACATAACCATCGAAAAACCATTTCTTGTTCACTATATTCTATTAGCCACTATTAAACATATATAGTTTCTTTTGCCCGGCTGTTCATCCCTATTTGTGAAGATAATCACTTGAACCACTTGAATCTGTTTTGTTTTAAACGAAAAACCTGAATACTTTCATGCCTTTCATGAGTTTTATCTTGTTTATTATTCCTTTTGTCGATTTAGCCTCCGGAAAATACGAATTCTGCTTAAATGACGACCGTTTATCTATCTGAAAAAAGCTTTCAAAGTGATTAAAATTATGACTATACCTTCTTCCCCTTTCATCATTTCTTGAATACTTTGCAGGTAACATCGGGAAAAGCCAGTGTGCAATGCAGATTGGGTACGGTACTGGCCTCGACTTCGTCCACGGTGTCCTGGAAGAAGTACGTCGTTTACCTGTTCTTAGTTATACATTTGTTGTCCGAACTAGTGTTTTATTATTACTTGCTAGCCTGAAACATAAATTTAGTCAATTGGATATGAACAGTTCCAGGGTATATTAAAAAATGTAATACTTAATGATGCTGGTAAGAGAGTGAGTGAAGTAAAGTAAGTTAACGCTTCTTAACAGTATTTCAGTAAGATCATGGTGTGCAAAGTTATTAGAGGAAGATGCCACACATATCCTCGCTTATCCATAGGTGGGATATTGCAGCCACGTTAAAAACCAAACAATGACGAACTAGTAGTGTATCTTGCTTTTGTGTTTCAGTTCAAAGTTTTCATCTGCGATCCATAGAGCCGGTAGTTCAACACAGTGATTCATCACGTGGGTCCATGAAGTGCTGCTTTTATCTCGATATCAATATTAAAATGTATAGTACACTATTTCTTATTCTGTCATGTTTGTTATAAATACTGCTCTTTACGTATCCCTTAATGTTTGTCTTAACTAAACGAATTAACTGAAAAGTCGGTATCCAAAGTAATATCTCTGTACCGTAACAAAATCACGCTACATAGAATCCTGCGCTCAAGGATTATGTGGGGCAACGTTAACGCCGTGTCGTGTCTGAAAACCATCGCAGATTAACGAGTTGTACACAGCGTTTGGTTCTGTAAGAGTAACCAACTGAACTGTTATGATTTGCCTTTTTCCGTTCCACGAAGATTGGACATAGGATGGGCATATTGTTCTACATAATGGAACATGGGATGGGCATATTGTTCTATATAAGGGTACATAAAATGGGATATCTTGTTCTACATAATCGACAATAGGATTGTTATATTGTTCTAAATAATGGACCATAGGATGGGCATATCATTGTACATAATGGTCCATAGGATGGTCATATTGTTCTACAAAATGGAACATAAGTTACATGTAGGCATATTGTTTTATATGATGGAGCACAGGGTGTGAGATCTTGTTCTACATAATGGACCATAGGATGGGCATATTGTTCTACATAAGGGTACATAAGATGGGATATCTTGTTCTACATAATGGACCATAGGATGGAATACCTTGCTCTACATAATCGACAATAGGATTGGTATATTGTTCTAAATAATGGACCATAGGATGGGCATATCATTGTACATAATGGTCCATAGGATGGTCATATTGTTGTACAAAATGGAACATAAGTTACATGTAGGCATATTGTTTTACATCATCGACCATAGAATTGGGCATATTGCAGGCATACTGTTCTACACAATGGAGCACAGGACGTGAGATCTTGTTCTACATAATGGACCATAGGATAGGCATATTGTTGTACAAAATGCACATGCTGCTTAGCATAGGTCTTCAGCAACCCATGCTTGTTGTCAGAGGGGACTAACTGCATCAAGTGGTCAGACTCGCTGACAATGTTGATGCATGTAGTGGTATCCTAAATGCGTGGATCGAAGTTTATAATGTCAATCACTGGATTTTCTAGTCCAAATTACAGCATTTACAGATCGTCGTCATATAGCTGGTATATTGCTGACTGAGGCGTTAAACAACAAACAAACAACACATGCAGCTGTAATTCACAGGCTTCAAATTTAGATATAAGATGGCCTTAAGGCAATTCTTGAATTGAATGAAGAGTCGTAAAACTAAAATGCTAACATCAGGTGCTCGTTAAACCAGGACTAAATATTAAAATTATTTAAAAATAGTGTACATATCAGTAAAATACCATATATTTCACGGCATGTTTCTACTATCTCAAACACTAAAACAAAATACGTTTTGGGAAATTTTAAATGAATATTCCAAAACAAATGAAGGGTCAGTAAAATCGCTAATGACACGTTCCAACACGGTGCCCTGCGATAACGGGGTGATACATTGTACACGTTAATTATTCTTGACAGCTGGAAAGTTAGCATAGATGAGTTAGGTTTGAATGCTCTGAAGAGTATTTCAGTTATATAACGCCCAGTCAGCTTACTGTGGGAGAAAATCTCGAATTGGCGCTTGTGTCAAACATTTTCACTTTGGTGAAATCTACGAGAACAGGTATGGTGCAGACAACCAAGAGCTAAATAGACGTATTACGAAATGGATAAAATGAAGCGTCAGGTGATAAGGTTTCTCAAGTTACTAGATCATCGAGACTGTCAATGTCTAAATGGCCTACAACAATATTTTCGATGATGGTGTATCTCTCGAGAACTCATGGAAGATTTAAATATAATTGATTTGTATGACAAATCATGAATGTGTTTGACGTACATGGTCTTAATGGTAGATCACATAGTTAACCTGTTTCTCCCTGGGGAATGCGGCCCCGAGCAATCTATGCTTGCCGTACGAGGCGACTTAATTGATCGGACAGTCAGGCTTGGGGACGTCGTTCATAGCGTGTCATCGTACGTCGACGACGTGACAGGTTGCTCATAATATCAATCACTGGTTTGTCTGGTCCAGACCCAAATTATGTACAGACATCGTCATAAAGATGAAATGTTGCTGAGTGTAGATTTAATAACAAACAAACACATTCTGCTTGTTTCTTTTTATATTAATGTTTATGAATATGTAATTTGTTCTCGTCGCTATATGGCCTAGACATTGACAAATATTACCTCACTTTCAACAGCCGACTGCTTAATGACAACGCCGAGAAATAAACTCAACCCAATAATAGTTACAAAGTTGCAAGTGATGTATATTCATAAAGATTTACAAATATCGATAAATAACATTTGTGTATTACCACAGATCTGAAGATTGTTAAGTTTAAAGTAGATAGTGTGTCACTTTAAGTTAAAGGTAAACGACCTTTACTCCGTGTAGACATAAGAAAAGAGTATTGTTCTCTCGTACTCGAATTTATTTTGTCTCAATTGACTTCACACCTCAGTGTTCAATATGTTGTGGACTGTCGGTTCAAGCTAAAACAAATAAAAAGTTCCAATTAAGTCTAGATTATCAAATATCATTTTAAGAATGTTCAGGTTACTCAAATGTAGTTACCTCTGTTAATAATGTAATTTTTACCATCCGTGAACTAAAGTGCTTTAGTGTTTTCCGCGTGTTTTCACACCTTGGCTATATTGCATTTATTGCAGAATTTGATAATGTTAGGTTTATATTGTGAAATTGTTGGGTAGATACACGTGTTACTCACTTCATATAATCATACTTACGAGTTTGTGCTTCTTACATAACGCGATTATATTATGGGGATCCGTTTTAGCGAAGTATATTCAAGTTTCTTTTAGTTATACAATGGGGGCACGGGTGGCCCAGTCGTCTAAGGCGCCGCGATTCGCTGTGCAGAGTTGCGTCCCTTTGGCACGCCAGAACCTATCATTGTGGGTTCGAATCCCGTTTCGCCCCGATTATGTTTCTAGGTTTGTCAGCACCATACCCGTAATTGTGGGTTTCACCGAAGTGGTAACCGTCTGAGACCTGCCATCACTTCGGGCTTTCCTCCCACATTAAGCTGACACGCCGCGATATAACTGGAATACTGTTAAAAGCGGCGTTAAACCCCACTGACTCGCTCACTCAATTTAATTATACAAATGTAGTCATGTAGAAGGAGTCTTAGTCAGGAGGAGCATCCACACTATAAAGTATCACGTCACCATATGCAGTATCATTTATGTTTCATTGGCTTCATAAACATATGAAATGCCACCGCCTCCGTGGTCTAGTGGATAGAGCATCTGTCAGGAGAGCGGAAGATCGGCGTTTGAATCCCCGGCCCCGACAAACCCAAAGACGTTAAAAGATTGTTCTTGTTTCTGCTCTGCCTGGCGCTTGGCATTAACATGATTTAGGAGATAAGACAAGTGCTGGTCGGTCAGTATACTATGTCTGAGTAGGATATTCATGTGAAACTGTTGCATGGTATCACAGTTGGCTACCACTATAAAAACGGCATTACTCCGCATGTACATGTACGTTGCGACATTGAAACCCATTTTACATCTCCACGCCGACAGAAAAGAGGTATATACAAATATCTCAGTATTGATTGAAGTGTTGTAAACTTTCAAAGCAAAAATCAGGTAGAAATCAGAATTTATGAAAATGCATTTACTTATCAGCACAATATCACCAGATATATGTCTGGCGTGTTGGTACTGTCTTATAACGAACAACAAAGTACGTTTGGTCCAAACTAAAATGTGCCATCAAAAATGGAGCTTCAGTAATAGCGCTATTGACACATCCCTCACACCACAGAACCCTGAGATGGCTGAGAGATACCCGTATGATGCTTGACGGCTGGATTGTGAGTTTGACTTAGTTTTGTTTTACGCCGCTCACAACAGTTTTTCACTTATAACACGGCGTGGAAGTTCAATGTGAAAAGAAATCCGAAGTGACACAGCTCTCAGCTTGGTGCAGATTCGATTATTAAAAGGTCGTCGTCGCATAGCTTGTATATTCGCAATATTAAGCAACCAAAAAAAACACCAACTTTACTTTGTTGTCGTTTTTCACACCGAATCTGTAATATTTCGGTACCGGTTTTAGTGCCCATATTAACAAATTGATATTAATATGTACATGTAACTTGTTCCCATCGCTGCGTGGCTGAGACATTGTGAAGCGACATTAAGTCATATCTCCCTTTCAAAGACGACTCTTAAAATCAAAATGCCAAGTTATAAACAGAAGTCAACAAAGCGTTATAACTTGCTGATGATCTTTATTTCAAATAAAGTACAAATATTACTTAATAACATAATACTATTAATTTTAACGTGAATTGTTGTATCACTGTAAGTAAAAAGTAGATAACATTTACTCTGTGTCAGTGGTCACTGGGAGAGAGGTCCACGTCATCAGTAACATGTTATCAGCGGCCGAAACGACAAACGAGAGGAATTTTGTCTTTTTACCTATAGTGAGACGTTAACGATCAGTACGGAATCAATGATAATTTCTTGTGAATCGTTTGGTATCAATTCTATTCAAAAGCACACACACCAACCAATACATCTACTATATAGAATAAAAGCACAATCTATTAATGATATACCAATGAACAAAATTTACTAATAAAAATATCTTCTTATCTTCTATTATCAACAATGTGTTCAAAGAATAAAATTTAAATTTCTCTTTGCTCAAAACATGGAGGATTAATCTCATGATTCGCTTAATAAATGTTCCCTTATTTGCTTATATCAACATTATAAACAACAAGTAGTTTCAAACATGATGTGGCAGTCAGTGTGGGAATGATCGTTTCACAGGATGACAAAGAAAGTGAAAACAGTCAACGTCATCAAGTATGTAGAAATCTTCACTGTATCTCCATCTAAAATAACACAAAAATTGTGTTATTGTATCCGTATAAATAATTTAAATAATATTAAAAAAGGAGTTGTGAAATTTAACTTATTTAACTTGTGAGAGCATCAACGTTTTATACAAATACGCAGTTGTAGCGCTTAGGACATGACAACTCTCTTCCAAACAACGAATCACTTTCAAAACGGTTCTTGTTCTCTGTAAATGTGCATGTAATGCATGCTAGTGATTGGTATACGATGAGACAAACAGGAACTTTGATATATGTCACTAGTTATAAATGACATCGACATCAACATACATGTAAAATTAGACTTGGTGTTCATTGCTTATTACTTTTGTCAACAGCTTATATTAATGTATTTTCCTAAAATTGATCTTTTAACACAATGACAATCAAATATTTTTACAGTTTTAATTTGGTTTGTAAACATTGAACATGTTTCCCTACCGTTCTGACAGGTATCTCCTGTGTAACCCTCCGCACAGGTACAGGTGGTGGGGGTGGGGCTTGTGACACATGTTCCTCCGTTGATGCATTCGTTTCCACCAACAGAACACACGCCCTCTGAAACATTCCCATTTCAGTTAGTGTCACAATATTCATAAATGGAAAGGAACAAAAGCAAAAAGAATATATAAGCAACAAAAAATATTTCCATATTCATAAGAAATCTCTACCAAAAGCATAGTCGGTTGCACGATTCCCACTATATCATGCGTATCTTTTTATGAATTACCATCAAATATCCCGAAATCAAGTGTTCGCGAACCCGTCACAAACACATGCAAAGACAAGTTAATTGTTTACCTAACCAACTCGGGAGCATATGGTACAAGGCAAGATAGGTAAATATCTAGTCTAGGTTTTGTGCATATTTACCGGTGCAAGTTTTTCCATTCCCAGCAAAACCTTCATTACACGTGCAGGTGTAGGAACCTGGGGGCGTATTCGTACACGCAGCATTCGTATCGCACTCGTCAGCGTCATCACCGGCTGCTTCACATTCGTTGATGTCTACGAATATAATTTACTGACAACATAAAACAAATACGGTCATCTTTCTAAACTTTGCTGTATTGTCGTCTGAAGGCCTTCATGTTGTGTTCAAAAGGCATATTTAACAATGATAGTTATTTGAAAAAAATGCGTTTCTTTGAGAAGTATTAAAATGAAAGGCATGTTAGAACCTGGAAGGTAAAGCAGTTGCCGTTAAATGGAAGTTAACGGTTATATATGTATATATATACACACACACACACACACACAAACACATATATATATATATATATATGTGTGTGTGTGTGTGTGTATATATATATATATATATATTTATATAACCGTTAACTTCTATTTAACGGCAACTGCTTTACCTTATATATATATATATATATATACATATATATATATATACGTGTATATGTGTGTCTTTGTGCGCTTGTGTGTGTCGGCTTGTACTGATTCGTGAATGTTTTAAACAAATTCTGATATCTATTTCCAATTTTCATTAGCACTGAAATTTACGATTTTGTTATCTGTACCAAGATTTGTTTTCAATGCATCTTAGAACTTAGACTTAGAAGGTAAAGGAAAAAATAACGTTACCTATGAAAAAATGGCAGTATCATGAAATATAATAAATTTCTCGCAATATTCATATAAGATAGATCCTATACACGTCATAACTGGAAATGTAAATGCTTCATGTATTTTGTCATTTCATCACCAAAGATGCATGGAATAGACTTTTGTGCTTATCCGTAGGATAACATTGCTCAGTGTGTACATACCAGTCTCACAGATGTTTCCTGTGTAACCCTCCACACAGGCACACGTAGTGGGTTTGGCGTGTGTGTCACATGTTCCTCCGTTGATGCATTCGTTCCCACCATCAGAACACACACCCTCTGAAACATAAAAGTTCCATTTCACATTTCAGTGAAATTCATAAAAAAGCATCAGTAATTCCAAACCTTCGAAAGAAATGACTAGTTTTTATGAATTACATGTTGGTGACCTAATACGCTGTCCATGCTAGGCATGTTCAATTTTGTTATAAGCAACCATATGCGATTTGTTTTCTATGCAGATGCTCATACATGTAACGATTTTCTACCAACTGGATTTCATATCATTGATGGTGCGATGCCGACTATGCAATTATCATATTTACCAGTGCAAGTTTTTCCATTCCCAACAAAACCGTGATTACACGTACAGGTGAAAGAACCTGGAGGCGTATTCGTACACGCAGCATTCGCATCACAATCGGGAGCGTCGGCCCCGCTTGCTGCACATTCGTCGATATCTACGAATATGATTAAAAACGTCAAAATAAATGAGTACTTTTCTAAACGCTGTTGTTTATCATTTGTCACGCATGTGTGTGTTGCCTGAGTTCTGTTGTTCTAGAACAAGTCATATCCTCATTGTTACACCAATGCCGTTTTTCAAAAGCCTTGATCAACTTCTGAGTGGATAAGATATTTGTTTATCAGGGAGGTAGTTTATGATTGGCGGGAGATAGCCTTAAACAAAATATTCCGTATCACACCTGCAGTCGAACACAATATTTTTGTCAATTTCATGAGTGTTCTTTATAAACGTTGCTTTAGATCATTTGTCACGCGCATGCATGTCGTGTGAATTTAAGCATAATTTTATATGAAAAGAAATTGAACTATTTCCGGAACAAATCAGCCACATTAGTTTCGAATTCGTCTTGGGATCTTCAAGTTGTGCTCCAAAGGAATCTTTTACCGTGATATATATTTAAACGTCACACTGCACATTGTGCTCCCGTTGTGCCATCAATTTCTTCTAAATGTCTGAAACATCTAAATTCACATTTGTGGATAAACCAAACGTAACGATACTGATACCCTCGCCTGAGGGTTTTCATTTTATGCCCCAAAGCAATGCATAAACATGAGATGTAATGTATAAGTCAAGCTACACACTTACCAGTTTCACAGCTTGTTCCCGTGTACCCCGGCGCACATTTGCAAGCACTTGTATGACAAGTTCCTCCATTTTGGCATTCGCTTGTATCACTGCAACCTTCAATGACTCCAACTATCGAGCACAACACTGGCAAGAAATGATGAGATAGGTAGTGATTTCTCTTGAATAATGTTGTGAATAAGGTCGGCATCATCAATTAGTTCAATACATATTCTTATTAAATACATGACACCTTTTTATGGATAGCAGAGCTACTGCTTGTTCCTTCATCAGCATTCACCTGATGAAGAAGCATGGAGGAGCTCTGAAACGTCGTACAAAGATAAAAAGAAGTTGTTATCCATAAAAAAGTGTCATTTATTCATGTTCTTCCAACTTCTAAATGCTTATCAAAAAGTTCATATATAATTATTGTTAGCATTATTACCAGAAGACGTGAGGAACTGTTCTTAATTACAACTAATCTTCCTCAAAATAAAAAAATAATTAACAATAGGACAAATAGTGACAAGAAGTATTTGTTGATAAATGATGGAAACTGAATATCGACATTGAACTCACTAAGAAAGATTACTGGTAGTCTTAAAATCGCCATGTCTGGTCTCTCAGCCGCTGTTCAATGATCCTCAGTTCTTATGACGATCCGATAGTTCGTAGCCTACACTCCTTTATATAGTTGGAGATCCGTGTTGAAGACAACGCCCACAATGTGTGATAAGACACCTAATTAATCGTGTCACTTTTTATACCTAGTGACCACATACAAAACACACACATTCCTATTTACATATTATAGCATATCCAGTTGAAGTAAAACCTAGTTGGATAGGATCTTGTCCAATAGACATACATATTTGCCTGTATGGAAGTTCTCTTCGACGGCACTGACAATGCATTGGCTGAGATGTGTTCTGTAGGCTGTCATTGAAGCAAGGTAAATTAGCTCAACGTTAAAGAATGAGCCATAGATTCAAGACAACAGAAAACGCAGTTTATATTATCAACTTGAAACTACTTCTTCAGGGGACTAACACATTTTTTTGTTATATCTATTTTTTTTAGATTTCCTATGCTATCCTTCTTGAATGATTCCCGATAGCTCTATCCACTTTTCAGACCGATATTTATTTGGTCATACTGGTGCTACCAGAAGGATAGGTGCAACTGTGCTTCGTACAGCCTCGCCAAGCCAAACATACTTTATCAAGTAAGGCATATATAATGAATTATCAACAATGTTTGTCACCAGTATAGTGAGTTTTGTGGAATAAATAATAATGTAGAAGCAAATTAACCAGCATTGCAGTCTATCTGATGTGGTCACTTACCGAACCATGGGCAACTAAAGCAACTAATTTGACCATCGAAATACCATATACTACGTGGGCATTTGTAGTTTTAGTGGATGTCATGTTGGATTTGGGGGAAAAGAAAATGCTTGAACACGATGCTCCGTGTAACTGCAAAGTCATGGATATGTATGATTATGTCGTAATAAGGGATCAGTTGAACAAACATGTATTCTGATTCTGACTCAGATATTTCTTATGAATATGGAAAGGGTTTTGTCGCTTATTTATTAGTTATGCCACAGTATTGGGATACCCTATATCGAATACCCTTTCAATTATTTCTGAAACTGTAATAAGCTACTTCAACATTCTGATATGTAAGTATGCATTACATTACATTACATTTATCCTAAATAAAAATATACTCCACATGTTGAAAATATGTAACCGTGATGAAACAATGTTTAAGTAAGAGTAAGTTCTTAAAATCTTCGAAAGTATGCTCGATTGTACATCAAAAGTGATGAAATGCAGACACCAATGGCTGGAGGTGCTGCACCATTGCTCGATACAAAGGGGATCATATCCTGCTTAATCAGAGTCTACCCAAATGTACCTTTTGACACAACTAAGAAGACATTTCTTCTTCACTGTTGCGGCAAACGGCCCCCTGTAATCGTATCTAAGACAACAGAACATAGTTTTCCACAGGATGTAGAAACTCAGCTTCTACGTTGTTGAACATGTCAGATGAATTGGGCCCAACTATGATGAATAGCAATGCTCCCTTGGTCAATGAGTGTGAGATTTACTAATCATTGTTGTGAGGTTTTGTTGTAAAGACGCTATGCAACGAAGATATTTGACTTTCCTATATGTAATACTATCCTATTCTAAAGTACTTTAAACTATTGTAAATTACCTCAGACATGTTCAAGCCTGTGGTGTTGAAGGTACATAACAACCTAATACAATGAACTACCTTTGGAGACTTCTGATCATGCCATAGTTACATCATTGTCGTGATTAGTACATGTGATTAAATGTGAAGAATTGCTAGCTGAATGTTAACCAAAAAGGTATATTTTGTTCAAGAGCGTTAATTGGCGAACAATAGCTTCTTCAATATACTTGCGTAAACATTGGTCTGATATCACTCAATACTTTCGCAAACACCAGAGAGTTTATGTTTCATTGTGTCATGGTGAAATATAGAAAGATACCAAATAATATACGCAGTGACAAAAGTAACTGTGATTATGTTCATATTTATCATAGTGTGGTGTTTACCAACACACAACTCAAATCTTAATTCTGAGTTTATTAAAGTTTTTTGGTGTCTACTCTTGATACAAATGTACCCAAATGGCCACCAAAAGATGTCTAAGATGTCTTTGCATTTTGTGTGTTTACACACAGGTTATAATTGTAGGGAAAGAGAGAGGGAAGAATGCTTTTTGTTGATCCCACTGTGCATTAAAAAGACATTGAATGTACTCTTAAGCTTGTCTGTCAGTCAAGTCCTCAGCTCTTGATGGATCATGTACGATATGTTAGTCTGTGCAAAACATGTATTCAACTAACATAAAGATTACATGCTGTTGCCAAGTTTGTAAATCTAGATCATAAGACATGATGTTTAAATACAAAATGGATTTGAATTATTAACTTTTCAGATGGTATTCAAAACAAAGAAGTCATCTCAGAATGTTATTTTAACACTTGGAGCTTAAGACATGTACGGCGTGCACCCTTTTCACGAAATCAAGCACTCATCCTAGCAGCCATTGAGGAGGTGCTCTTCAAATAAACTGTCCATGATTATCCCAAAGCCTTTAAGTCCACCACTGCACGGGTTTTTGATTTATAGGGGTAGAACAAAGAGATTTGTCATCCGTTAAGATAATACCACGAGATCAAATGCGCACACGTAACCTCAAGCAAAAGTAATACATCTAAAACGTCAATTCCAATAAGACAAGTGTAATCTCCTGATGTTCTGCAGATTTGTTGAGTGCACACTTGTAGCAATGCTAACGTCATTTATAATACTGACGTAGTACCGATAGTAGCTCATAACATGTTCGACCCATTCATGTAAGAATAAATATCGTTATGTCTTGTGATTTGGGCAACCGAAAAATATCACTGTCAATGTAGCTAAAAAGTTGTCAATCGTTCTGACATTGAGGTAGAATTGTAATCAAAGTAACAACTGAACTACGTACAAAAATTCTGATCCAGTAAAATACATTAATAAAAGCACACTTTTCAAATTCCTCATAATCTAAATGATTTTAAATGTACTTAAGGATGTCTGCTGCTATTTTATGAGGGTATTGGGAAGTCATTCACTGTTAATAGTTTCGAAAAAATAGGCAATTAAGAATATTTAAGTTGTAAAAGTACTTTAAGCACATGTGAACATCAAGCTTAGCTGTAAATACTTTATATGTGTGGTCCCAACAATACTGTCCAGTGACCCTTCCATACACAATATGGGGTGGGATTCGCTCAGCCATAGTGATACCACCCCACAACATAACCGATCCACGGCAGAATCTGCCTTGAGGTTTCGGGGTGACATTGACTTGACGATCATTTCAATGTCGCTAGACACGATCACGCCTATCAAGGACGTGCAAAGTGAACAGGGACTCATCCGAAAACATGACGCGTTACCATGACGACGATTACCCCAGTTTGGACGTTATGTACTATGACTGAGTGCAATGCAGTGACGTGATAATTTCGACAATAATTCAATTCTGTGTAAGCAATAAATATGCGGCATGTCGTAAAATGGGAATGAATTGTGTTTTAGTTTGAAATATAATGCAACATCTTTGACAATTTGACGTTGAGTCTATAGTTCTTGGTTGCATGGCTTTTTGTTGGCCCATATACGTATACTGAACTGCAAAAGAAACGTCACCATGGAAAGATATATGAGAAACCTTATTTGTCCAAACACTGTAAACATACTTTGAGACATAATAAAAAGATGAAACTTGGCAAAACTGATCATCAAGGTTGAAAGTAAAGTGTCAAATGTTCTTAAAGTGAAACACAACACCAGTCTCTGAGAAAATGGCATCACAAGTCAGTATCTCGTGTGTCCGCCGTGCAACGTCGATACATGGAATGGATGAGGCGGTCGATGAAGGCCAAAGGCACTTGAGTCCACATTCTGAGAAACGCCTGACGCAGTTCAGCTGCAGTTTTCAGCTCTTAAATCGAGACTAAGGGCAGGCCATTGCATGGTTCTGATGCCATTCTGCTGAAGGAAGTCTCTTGTTGCTCTCACAATGTGGACACGGGCGTTATCATGCTGAAAATCGTGGTTGCGGCGACGTGCCGAATGAGGTATGGCGTGTGGTCTCAAGACTTGATCAGTGTACCGAGCTGATGTGACACCATTGCCTCTCCCTGGACTGATGTTCTGGAAGACCACAGGGCCGACCCTCTCCGCACGATCAATTCCACCCCACAACATGATGCTCTGACTACCCTATGAGTCTCTCTTAACAACACAATCATCTGAATAACGTTCCCCACGGCGTCGCCAGACTCTCTCTCTCTCTCTCTCTCTCTGCCATCTGCTGTTGAGATACGGTCACGGCGATGAAGTGGGGTCAGAATATGTCCTCGGTGTGTCCTGTGACAGTGGAGGTGTCTGCTCGTCAATCGTCGACGCACAGTGTCCACACTAATGTGTCGCTGGTGTGTTCCCATGGTCCGTCGAGCAATTTCCGCAGCAGTAACAAAGCGATCTTGAAGATGCTGTCGCACAATCTGACGATAATGGCGTCGGGTGGTGACCCTTGGTCTTCCACTACGTGGTCGGTTATCTGTAGTTTTGGTGGTCTGGTACCGTTCCTGGAGCCTGTATATGGTCCTTATGTGGACTTTAAATGCATTGGGCATTTGCCGGACGGTTTGTCCAGCTTGCAATTATCCATGGGCTTGGTGTCGCTGATTTCTTGTCAATCTTGGCATGTGGTAGTAATTCAATAACGAATGAATGTTATCCGATCTGGGTGGACATTTATAGGACAAGAAATGGGGGAACGCATGTGCATTTCAATTTGCACGGAACTCACGTGCATCGGGTTACCATGGCCGTTGCCGTGATGCGTTTGGGAGATCGGTTTTACTGTCATCTGCTTTGTTTTTTTATCATCAAATTTCATTTTCCGGACAAGGTAAAATTAAATTTTAGAAACTTTGACAAAAGTACCCAGATATTTAAATGACAATTTTTCATGCAATGTTACTTGGGATGACGTTTCTTTTGCGGTTCAGTATATTTAGAGTAGCACGACAATATTCACGACAGTTTGAG